TGTAGAATAATATTTCTAATGCGGGTAATAATGAGAGCTCTTTTCGAAATAGTAAAAGCGATCATCGTAAGTACTTAAATATTTTCTAATCAATATATTTCTTCATTAATTTTTATTGCTCATAGATCACATACTTAATTATTCTCTATTTAGGTGATTATTCAGTTAATATTATGAATTTTTTTTGTAGGTGTTTCTCAAGTTGATAGAAATCCTGATATTCCGTACTCACAATTTCTAAGAAATAGAGTTGAAAATGATGATTTTCGCAAAAAATTTGTTAACAATATATTCGGTTATCCATCATGGTTATGCTCAATTTGCGATCGAATATGGTTTCACAATGACTTAAAACCACTAAGAGCAAAACATGAAGAACTCTTACGTGTAATAATTTATAATTTTAATACAATTAACGAGATTTTACCGTGCAACAAGTTTTACTTATCAATAGAGAGGAAAGTTATTCCAACAATGTCCACATATAACGATTTCAAATATCCAAATATACCTAAGTCTTTGCCACCACTTGATTAATTTCCAAAAGATTTGTCTCTCCTCGAATTTCATTTATGCAAATTAACAATATTATTACCCTACAATTATTCCACTCCTGATACTCTGAATTCGTCTCATTCTATAGAAACTTAGTTTTTTGAAGGTTTCACTCCTAACACGTGTGATTTGCACACATGTTTTTTTTATTATCGTTTCGTTTACATGAAAAAGATGAGAAAATCAATGAAACGATATTTATAATGCAGATAAAAAGTAAGTGGTACGTGTGGTACGAAAGAAAAATAGTATATAAAAGACAGTGTGCAAAAGATTGCAATACGATGGGTCTCGTAACAAGAATGTGGGTGTTTATGTGTATCTGTAAAGAATGCAAGATCTTTTTTACACAACGTGTATCACTTACCCTAAACACTCTCAATCTTCTATTTATAACTTGATCATTGTTTAATAGGTAAATAATACTTTTCCTTTTTTTTCTACTTTAATAATCGATCATCTTAATTGTGAAATTAATAGGATTATCGTTTAAAAATCTGTAATTTTCTATCGAATTTTACATCAGTTTATTTTATTTTTCTTTCTTAACGAGCTAACCATTAAACGTAATTTGCTGAAATTATTGAATGGTATTCGTGAACAAAAAACAAAAGAAAACATCTTTTAATTTTATTATTATTTTGCGATTATAGTAAAAATGTAAATTATTATTCATAAATTATTTCCTTTCTAACGATAAAAAATAATCGATTTCAAGTTAGTTCACGTGAATAATTATTTAGATAATTAAAGTGTAATTATAGTGTATCGTAAAGCGTTTAAGATTTTTGTTTTTTACGACGATACAATCATAGGGTATTTCAATTTTTTTCATTTTCTCTCGATAAGATTTCCCGGTCAATATTTGTATCGACTGGTAAACAAACTATCGAAAATTTCATGACGCTGGGAAAATTCTAATATTAGAAAAATAAAAAAAAACAGATGAAAAAGAAAGAGACAAAAGTTATATACTTGAACAGTATACCGGTTATTGCATTTCCTGATAAAAAAAACAGATTCCACGAAACAATAATAATTGAACGGGAATTTCGATCAATGACGAAGAGAATATTAAGTAATATTGTTGTCACTATTGTTGACATATTATCTATCTTCCTCTGATTCTTCCTTCTACGAACGAATTAAAAAGAAAAAAAAGATAGAAAAATAACGATAAAATCTAAAGATACATAAATAGGTAATTCCCGCTAGAAAAATACATTTTTAAAATAGGTATATGTCTATGACTAATAGAAAAGTCCTTGCGGAAAATACTGTAAGTATTAAAAAAAAAAAAAGAAAAAAATGTTTTCTTTAGGAAGGTAGAAATAATTAATAAAAAAAAGAAGAGAAATGTATATACAAACGCATCGTACACATATTTTTAGATATATATATCACTTCAAAATGACATACATTATATGTATGAGTTAAATTTATCACCACCGCAAGTGTTAATCCTATTTGTTCTCAAAAACAATTAATTGAGATTAAAGTAAGACAAATTATTAAAGATCTTTCAACATTATTGTTAATTATTATACACACTTGTATTCTATACTAAAGGAATTTTTACATTGGTATTTCAAATATTGTAAAATAACAAATATTTTTACCACTTTCAATTATTTTCTACCGATACTCTTATAATTATATATTATTTAAGTTTACATATACAAATATGTATATAATACAATTAAAACAAAGAAATTTCAGTCTTGTCACTTATAACATTTTCTACAAATACTCTTATAAAATGCATTATTTGTACATTTAATACAAACGTTTTATAAAATTTTATTCAAAAACAAAAACAAAAAAACAAAAAATATTGTTTATTTAAATCCGGATTTCAGATAAGAAAATATACGCTTATCTTCGTAGGATATAAAATCCAGGCCACGGATTCGTAAAATTAGATCATAGTTATTGCGTAGCTCGTTTAGTGATATCCGAGGCGGACATAGTCAGAAAGGTGAAAGCACTATGCGTATAGTAATCTATTATTTACACTTTATGTATTCAACGTAAATGCATATGTTACTTATAGTTGTATACGTATGCAAAACTGGTTGGTATCTTAACAAATAAGCAATATAAACGTATTCGTCGTTGATAATGATCGAATCGAATGTACGACCTTGACGTAGAATAAGTATTATATTGTCTTCTCCTGTATATTTACTCGTATATGATACATACACACATATTATACAATTTTATACGAACGAGGATAGCAAGATTTTTAAATAATGATCTCTGTAGATCAAAATCAATAATTTTTTTCTATTTTTTTTTTTTTTTTACATATATTTTAACGGAACGACCAACTTATTCTGCGGTAATTCAACGAGTAAAAAAAAAGGTTTATTTATGTTTAATTTAATGTCTATCTCGAAATATCTATTCTAATGCAATAATTGCAACTTAATAAAACGTCGTACATCAAATAGGAATAAATTAAAAAAAAAAAAAAGAAATATGTAATTAAGAGCGCTAGTTAAGTTCGTATTTTAATGTTATTCTCACATAATTATTTAACTTATCTCGATTAATCGTCCTTCCGCGAACTTGTGTTGTATTTTCAATTAAAAATGAATAAACGTATACTATTGCAATATATTTCTTGTTCCTTTTTTGTTTTGTATCTCTTTTTATTTTTTCCTCCTCTTTTTAATCTAATTAAAAAAAAAATCGTATCTTTTTTTATTCATTACATTATATAAGGTTTATATTAATTTTAATATTAATATATATACACATATTTTTACTGATAGAACTTTCATGCTTGGTAAATAAATTATACGTCTTTTCTTTATGTTTACCAAGTATCTGTGAATTTTCACGAAATAGACATTTGAATTTTTCTCATGAAATTAGCAAGAAAATTATACAGGAAATAAAACGTTTTCCTTAAATTGTCAATTATCAGAATGTTGATACGAAATGAAATACAAAATAGAAATGAGATAATATTACAGCTCGATTATTTATCAAATTTAAATTACCTATTTATTTTATAACACACGTATAATCAGATAAAAATTATTAAAAGCGAAATAAAGATAAAAATAACACGTAAAAGAACGTCATATTTTATAATCGTAAAATGCAATACGTAAAACGAGATTGGCCAATGACGTTATCGTCGAAACCTGTCTGCTTAAAAACAAAAAATATGAGCTATCTTTTCCTTCTTTGTCTATTTCTTTCTTTTTTAAATGCTCAATAAACAGAAAAGTAAAAAGAGAAAAATTATACATAGAGAGAGAGAGAGAGAGAGAGAGAGAGAGAGAGAGAGAGAAAGAGATATTAAAGATTTGTATATACATATATTCTCTATTTTATTTTATATATATCTTATATTGAAAAAAATATGAAATATATGTTAAACCATTTATAAAAAAAAAAAAAAAAAAAAAAAATCTGATTATCATTATAGTCACTAAATCATACGTGGTTTAGTATCTTTAAAAAAAAATATTTAAAAAAAAATATTAGCAGAGCGTGGTTTCGATCNAAAAATTATACATAGAGAGAGAGAGAGAGAGAGAGAGAGAGAGAGAGAGAGAGAAAGAGATATTAAAGATTTGTATATACATATATTCTCTATTTCATATTCAGTCTCGTTGTTATTACGCATCATTAAAAATAAATCATAGTTAATAAAAAAAAAAAAAAAAAAAACAGTAAAAAAATATCTGATTATCATTATAGTCACTAAATCATACGTGGTTTAGTATCTTTAAAAAAAAATATTTAAAAAAAAATATTAGCAGAGCGTGGTTTCGATCCACGGACCTCTGGGTTATGGGCCCAGCACGCTTCCACTGCGCCACTCTGCTGTTATGTTCAAGGTTGTAAAAAGAATAATAAATGTAAGAATAAAAAAATAAATAATATATTCATCATAATATACTTATATATAAAAAAGAAATCTAATAATTTGTATGATATTAAATAACAAAATATATTCTCTTCTAAAAAAAAAATAAATATACAAAAATATATATATTATTAAACAAAAACTAAATCTGAAGAATGAATATAAAAGAAGAAGGAAATAAAATAACAATAATAATAATAAAATAAAATCGCAAGATCACATTTGTCGCCTAATTATTTGTTTTTAGAATGGGGATAAAATTAATGCAAGGATTCATAAAAAAATATTAATTTTCTCTCTCTCTCTCTCTCTCTCTCTCTCTCTCTCTCTCTCTCTCCCTCCTTCTCGACCTTCAACCATTTTCAAAAGAGAAAAAGAAAAATATCACATACAGTGACGTCGACAATAGGAAGAATATGAGAAATGAACATGGGAAATGCGGGGAATTGAAAATAAAAAATTGTTTAAGAGTACTATAGTATATATATAAAAACCTGTTAGGTAGCTCCTTATCCACCCCCACTCGCTACCACATATCGTGGATGTATGATGTGTTTTAGTGTGTGACAAGAAAGGGAACGAGACTCGCGCTTACAATTAGATATGAAAACCATTCGCGAGTAGATCGTTACGTGAAATCGACTGAATCGGACGCGTATTCGCGAGGATCCCTTTTTATTTTTCCTCATACTTAAAATTACATTACTCTTTCTTTTTATTTCATTTTATTTTATTTGATTTTTTTTCATTATTAACAATTTTACGTTAACTTTAGTTTCGTTAGCAAATTTTCTAATATTTAACATATTTTTTGATTCTTTTATTCTTATTTCTTTTTTCTGTATACAATGCATTTAAACGCGTTTCTCATAGTATTATTTTATTTCGTTACTTCGGTGAACTGCAATTTAGAAGTGCGGCTTTTACACGTGGTAAATAAAAGTTTTCTCCATTGAAGGAACACTCTCTAACCATTTTCTTTATCTTCGAAGTATCTTTTTCAAAACTCGATGATCTTGTTTTCTTAACTTTTTCCTATACTGAATTCTTTTTCCTTTTTTTTTTCTTTTTGTTTTTTCTTTTCCCTTAGAAAGGAATCTTATTTCTAAAGGGTTCCAAGATTTTATTATTCTTTGTTTTACTTTTTTGGAAAAATCTTATATTTTGTAAAAATAAATAATCACATTAGTAAGAGTTTCAAATACGTTTAATAGTTTTGTGTTTGTGTATATGTGTATTTTTCTATTGTTTTTTTAAGCTATTTCGACACGGTGACAAGGTTCCTCATCGATTTTATCAAAATTATCCCAACGATCCGTACCGAGATTATTCCTATTATCCAATGGGAGATGGTGATTTAACAAACGTGAGTACATTTTATTATAAATTTCTCTTTCTCTTTCTCTCTAAAAAAAAAAAAAAAAATGTCTGCTTATTTCGAATGTAAAATTACAAATTAAAACAACAAAACAAATATATACATATATATAGTCAAATAGTGACGTCAGATAAATCGATTAGTTAATTTTTCGAAAGTCTCCACTTTCTCTGGCACACTCCTCGCAAAAAGAAAGAAAGAGAGAGAGAGAGAGAAAGCTTAATGGCATTTTAAAAGGTTACAAGAAAATATAAAAAGTAAAGAAAGAAAGAAAGAAAGAAAGAAAGAAAGAAAGAAAGAAAGAGAAAAGGAGAAATAAAAGAAAGAGAAAAAAAAGAGTAAGAATAAAATAAAATGTATAAGTAAAGCTTTATAGTAATCGATGCTAGAACCTGTTGATGTTTTCCAGGAAGGAAAAATGCGAGAATACAAAATCGGAAGGATGTTACGTGAACGTTACGATGGATATTTCGGTGCGGATTATTGGCCTGACAAGATCTACGGTCTTGCGACGGATGTGCCAAGGACACAGTTATCTATCCAGCTTGTCCTAGCCGGATTATTCCCACCCTCGGAGAAACAGACCTGGAATCCACATTTGCCCTGGATTCCCACGTGGACGCCCTTATCTATACCATCTGATATGCAAAACCTACTGTATCCACACTATTGTCCACGGTCAGTTCATTTATATATTTATATTTATATATATATATATAATATAATAATAAAAAATATAAATAATAAATATTAAATAAAATAAATATTATAAAAAGATAATAAAACAATAATATTAATAAATAAAATAATAATAATAAATAAAATAAAATATATATAATTATATATAATATATAAAAATTTTATATTTTTTTTTCTCTTGTTTATTTTTCTGTTTAAAATAATATTATGTTTTACTTAAATATCAAACGTAACACGCGTCACGCCAGTTCTTCATATGCAACACGCAAAACACAAAATTTGAAGACCTTTTTTTGTGATCTCTTCGATAAACTTTCACTTTTATCTTATGACTCTACAAGATTCTCTTAATTTATTCAACGTCTTTGCCGTATATAAGAAAAAAACAAACAAATAAAAAAAAAACAAACGAAGGTTATTTAAACTATAATTACAAGGATAAATAGATAGAATTTTGACTTGGTAAACGTTTTACACCGAAAGAAATAAATTCCGAGTTTTTATGCAATTAATATTATCTTAAGGTTTTATTTTATTTATCGCGTGAATAAAATTACAATAATAAATGAACATTTTCTTCTTATAATTCTGGAATCTTTCAAATTAAAACTTAAATTATTTACCAGGTGGTTTCGTTAGCGTACAAGTTTGACATAACCGATTTATAATAATATAATCGATCATCCTCTATTTCGATCTTTATGAATATTAAAATATATGAATTATATTAACTAGTTGAATAAATTTTTTTTATCAATATTTCATCTCTCTTTTGTATCTATAGATACAAAGAAGAATACGCACGATTTATCGCTCAAGATGAAATACAAGATATGATCAAAAAATACAAAAATGTTTTCTCTTATTTAACCGATCATTCCGGAAAAGTTATCAACACAACCACAGGAGTACAATTCATGTATAATTTATTGAAAGAAGAGGTAAATGTATATTCTTACTTTTCGTCTGCTAAAAATGATGTTATTGATTTCATTTTTTTATTAAATCAGAAAGATATTTAAATTCTTTCCTTTTTTTTTTGCTATTGTTCTTTTTCAGGCAGCGCAAAATTTAACACTACCAAAATGGACGGAGAATGTATTTCCTAGTCCCATGAAAGAAATCACTGTTCTTGATTTTAATTTACATTCTTACACGAGAACCTTGAAACGTCTCAACGGAGGTTCGTATCATCTCAGTTTATTAATAAATTAATCTTTTGAAATTAAGAAAAAATTAATCACAAAATTCATTTTTGAGTAAAATTACGAGAATTTGTATAAAAATGACTAAACTGATCTCTAACTATGATTTATTTTCTATTACAAAAATTAATCATAAAATGAATTTTGTCAATATTTCGACTAACATCAGGTATCACAATAATCACCGACACATATGTAACTTATGCATGAGTCATCGATATTTTAATACATTTACTTACTCAACGTTTAAAATGCTGAATAAGAACGAATAAAAATTCTTTTTCGTGAAGGATAAAGAAACGCACTTAACGACTAAACTTGAAAGATTTATCGTTGTCATTTAACGATCTCGCTCTTCGTCGTTTCCTTTCGAAATTGAGGAAGAAAATTTAAAGAGAAAGAGAAGAAGAAAAAAAATGTATAAAAAAAACACACACCACACACATACGATAAATCGATAAATGTCAATAATACTTAAGCAAATAATACTTCGTTTAAAATATATGTTTTTAATTTAATAATAAATATAATGATAATAATAATAATAATAATAATAATAATAATAATAATAATAATAACGCGATAATAAAACGATTTTCAGGTATGCTATTAAAAAAAATAATAGAAGATATCGAATTGTATCAAAAAGGAAAATTAACACCTGCCGATAGAAAAGCATTTTTATTTTCTGCACACGAAGTAAACGTAGCTGCATTGGCAAGAGCTCTTGGTACCAATGAACCTTTACTTCCCGCTTATGGTTCTACAATAATACTGGAAACTCTACGTGACAAAAAAGGAACTTACTATATTCGCGTAAGTGCTTTCACTATTTATTTTCTCATTAGATGATTACGTGTTAGAAATCGCGACCAAATTTTCATTATCATTTTAATACTTTATATTCATTTTTCATTTCGTTTTTCTTTTTTTGTTTTGATTGATATTAAATATATTTGATACGAAACACATACATATTATACATATACAATAATATCACCAAGTTTTCCAATTACTGTGTAATATTATTATATATTACAAAGTTACAAACAAGTAAATCGAATATCGTACGTTTTCCAAAACAACGATTACTTGATTTATATGAAAATAAAGCCTGAGAGAACGTTAACAAGGATATGGATGCATTCTCGAAATGTACTTTCACGTATTTCAAGATTGTTAACATTAACTGTAAATAGAATTATTGAGATGTAAAATAAAATTATTTTATAAAATTCTATCGATAACAATCATAATGTTCATTAAAAAATCGTTAAGTTGAAAGAATTTACGTTTAACCCTTATATTTCTTTTATTAGACTGTGTATTATTACATTTTCTCGCGATATGGATTTTATCATCTATTTTAGTCTTTTTAAGAAAATAAAAGAGGAAAAGAAAAATAAGGAAAAATTGTGTTTAATTATAAAAGAGTACCATGACACTCAAATAGTTAATCTAATCTCGTGAAAAGCCATTTCGCTAAATAAAGTTTCTCGGTTTTCCTATTCTATAATTTTCCTTCTGAATAATTTCTGTTTACGTCGTCTGTCGTGAACTCTATTTTATTCCGACATGTCGCTTTTGCTTTAGTACTCTTTGCACGTGAAATAATGAAATAATACCACAACGAATATTCTTTAGTTTTTCAAGTAATATCAAAAAGAAAAAGACATTAGAAATTGTTTAAAATAATCATAAAAAAATGAAAATTTATTTTTCAAAAATTTATCATACAAATCACATTTATTCTTATCTCGTAATATTAAACAAACAAAAAAATCTATTGGAAAAATATCGTTAAATTCGTAATCTCATAAAAATAATATGCTTGAAGAAAAATTCTTATTACTATCAAAATGTGTCTCTTAAAATAATGTAACTTCTTTCTCAGGATTTTTTCATAAAACCAAACATAAAAAAGATATTTTAGGTCGTAATATTTATTACATCATTTGGCATATAGTATTTTTCATATTACAAATTTTTCAAATTTTATATGAAAATAATAAAAAGGAAAAACAAATAACAGTATTTTATAAAAATTTCAAAATTACCTACTGAGTCAACCTCTACATGTGATATAATATAACACAATATATTATATTATAATAATTACGTATGAGAAACAAAAACAAAATATAATCATTAAAAAGTAAAGAAAATATCGTGATTTTATGAATGAAAAGAAATATATTTATTTATTTTGTTTGTTTGTTAATTTACAGGTACTCTTATGGACAGGAGTTTCCGAAAAATTAATTATACAAACGATACCTGGGTGTAATGAGCTCTGTCCTTACAACGAATTTCGTAAACTTATGAATGACGTCATACCAACAGAAGAGGAAAGTTCCTGTCGACGAAAAGACCATCATCATTATCATATCTCATCTTCGACGAAGAACACTGTGGATAAATTTGTGTTTTGTTTATTAACGATTTCGTATGTAATTTTGGAATCTTTAACGTAAACGAGAGAGAAAAAAAGAAGATCCCCTTGACGAGATGAAAATCATATTCACTACTACTACTACTATTACTACACCTACACCTACATAAATTAATTAAACTATCGTCACAAACATTGCGATAGAAAATTATGCAAATAACGTTCCTCTCTCTCTTTCAATCTCCTCATTCTCAATCTGTTACTATTTATTTATTTGGCGATCGAAGTTTATTTCTTTCTCTCGTTTTATTTCATAAGCAAAGTTTTAAAAAACAAAAAATTATAGAAACCTCTCTCTCTCTCTCTCTCTCTCTCTCTCTCTCGCTCTTTACCTGTGTATATAGAATAATTTATTAGTATAGAAAATAAATCTAATCAAGTAATTTTTTTTAAATAAGATTGTCAACTTTTAACATTTATTTCAATACTATCTTCGAATAATAAAAAAAAAAAAATTTATTTATGCAACCGGTCGGATGATCGGTCTTACATTAAAAATCATACATTAATTTTTTGCAACCTAATGCAAATGATGGTCAATGTGGTACTTGTTTGCTTCGATAAAAAATAAAAGAACATTTTTGTTGTTATTTTCAAAACAAATTGCACAAGTCAAAATGAGAAGAAGAATAAGAAAAAAAAGTATTAATATTTAACGCGAGATTTAAATGAAAAAAAAAGAAAATAAAAATAAAAAAAAGAATCGTGGTATAACGTTAAAGTTCTGATCTCGTAGGAAAACGATAGCGTAATAGTAGTGTTTCAAGAGGATTTTTACGACTTTTCCATACGATCCTGCCACGTAAATGAAAATGTCAATTTAACGAGTAACAGCCCGACACCCGGACTAAATGCACCGAGAGAAGATAAAGTAGAGTGTGACACTCGATAGACATGAAACGAGAATAGATTCGATTTCCAAGTGAACCAGAGGAATATCTCTCCTCCATTTTCGTTCGTTCGTTCGTTCGTTCCTGGGTGAAGAGAGTTCAAATACCTTTTCGTAATCGATACCGAACATTGCTCACTTCTATGAAATTATACGCGTGAGGTTACATAGAAAGCATAGTTTTGATACCTACATAAGCACATACATCCATACATATACATACATACATATTATTCATATAGTTACTGCATATATAGATTAAAATGAAATTGCGTTATTTCAAAGACTCATATAAATAAAATATTTACATATACTATATGTGTAAACATACATGCATGCACATATAAGTTTACCAGTCAGAAAGTTCATTTTTAAAGAAAACACAACGAGCTCTTTATTGTAAGCTTTTCAACAAATTATATATATATATATATATGTACATATGTATTATATAAACGAACTTACCTATCAACTATCATTATTTGTCCATGTTTTTATTTTTTTTTGTTCAAAAATTCTAGAGAATTATACTTTAAAACGAGGCAACATGAAAATATAATATTTTATATGGTAAATAAAAATAGTCCTGTATCGTACAAATTCAAGTAATTGAAACTCTCGCGTGATAACGTATATAAAAATAACAACGAAAGAGGATTAAAATATAAAAAGAATACAATGAATAGGATATGACGATATCTGGTGGAAACAAAACAAAAATGGAAAAATTTGTCGAATATGCGATCGTTTTATATTAAAAAAGAATTTAAACGAAGCGACAATGCGACAGGTGCATTTACGTTTTATCAAAATATTTCCTTGACGCATATAAGTAATTTATGTATTTACATTATTACGATCATTCTAATACATTCCAATATTATTTGTAATATCTCTGGACACGTGAACGTACAAAATCTTGTTTCTTTATCTTTTTATTTCACTTTTAACCATTTGCTTGAAGTAAACACCATAAGTGATAACCTTAAACAGTAGATTTTTTATAGTATTAAAATTTATTCTTATTATACATATACATACTTTAATATTATAATTATAAAAATATTTACTATAGATATAAATATATAAATGCATGTGTGTATATAACATAAGAATTATTATGTACTATATATATTACAAATATATTAATTATGTTACTATATACTACATATATATAATATGATAAATAATACCAATGTGTTTCAAAGTGTAACTAGCAAACCTGTATAAGGAATCGCAGAAATTTCAGCAAAACTATGAAATTTCTGGACACGTAACATATATTAATTGAAAATCAATTTAGCAACAAAGTTTCTTTTACGTATAGTATGTCTGTGAATTTATGATAGTAAAATAAAATATAATATAAAATCTAAATCCAGGATCGTGAAAATATTTGTTCGAGAAAAGAGGGTCGGCTAAATGGAATAGTTTGAGAAACCCTGATATATACTATATATACTATATATACTATTACACACATACACACGTGAATGTGTGTCTATATAAGTATATAAATACACAGTAAAATAATGAGGTAATAAAAAATAATGACTTATCTTTCCTAAATACCATTATTTTCATCAAACTTCATTCTCATATACGTCTTTGAGTCAAAAACTATGACGTACACCAATCGAGAATTGTTTGAAGAATCTTTTGTCTCTTTCAATGAAAATCGAGTTACGATAAATTAAAAATAGAACATAGACGGAAATTTCCGATACGATAATAAGACTGAAAATTAAACAAAACTGTAATTATAAATCGATCGCGCAATTTTATCGAACTCGAGCTGTCACTGATTCATTGTTAAAAAACAAAATTTATCAGTACCTTAACAATTTATATTCATTTTAATATATTGACGAATATTGCCTTTGATTATACAAGAAAAATTATGCAACTTTACTCACATACGTACACATAGGTATATACATGTAAATTCTATTCTATACTCTAGTGCATTATATAAATAAAAATGATAAACGTTACAATTTTATGATGTCTTCACGATGATGAATAAGAAAAGAAACACACTACGTATATATTTATGTGTATGTGTGTGTTATGTTATGTAATATCGAATAGAAATTTCCTCCTGTAGTTTTTCGCAATCAATTCACCTGTAAGTTTCTTTTTATTGAAATTAAATACCAACTAATACACACACACTCTCTTTCTCTCTCTCTCTCTCTCTCTCTCTCTCTCTCTCTCTCTCTTTCATTCTTTCAATCTACTTTTATTCATTCAAGTATCATACAAGTACTACATATACAAGTTTGATGATCTATCGAAGTGTTTGTGAGAAAAACATTTTCTATATTTACTCACAATCTATGATACACGCACGCATATTTTTTTTTTTATATTAAATATATTTTTTCCCTTTTTTCTTTTTTTTTCATTAACACATATGAAACATAATGCGTGAAACTTTGATAGTTCTCTCGTAATGTCCGTAAGTTACGTAAACGGGAAACATCTTTTTTTTTATAATTTCCATTGATTCCCACATGAGAGCCTCATACTTAAAACAACTGTTAATTAACAAAACTTCAGTTAATACTAAATAAGAGAGTGAAAGTATCTCCCAGATTTCCACTTTTCCGAGTTACGAAAACGATCGAAACCCTTTTTTTCAATCCCTCTACTACCCAACTCATATATCATCCCAAATATGCGAGGGTAGTATGGAAACAATTTTTTTTTCAATCTAATTCACTTTTATCTTTAAAAAACTTCTTTTTTTAGTTGAGTCTCAAAACTTTTCAATCCTTTCCGATATATAAAACAAATGGTCAATATTTTTTAAAATAAACAACCGGTATATGGGAATATTTTGTAGGATATAAATATTAATTTGTCAATATTTAAAATAAATGGCCGTGAGTATTTATATTAGACAAGATTACATGTTGATACAAGATATGTATTACATGTTTGACTATAAATATCAATCTACTATAATATTAATTTGACTATAAATACTCTGACAGATTTTTTTATTAATCAATGTAATAATGTAACTATTAATAATATTACAAAAATGGATATTATTATATTTGATCGTAAATACTGATCATTTATTTTAAATACTGGACAAAAAATGTTGAAAGATATTGACCCAATAAATAGCTTAAAGAGAAATATGTACATACTTTCACGATTACCTATTTCGGATTACGTCACGCACGTAACCTTGACGTGATACAAATCCTCTCACAATTTTTTTTCCTTCTTCGAGAAAACGATAGATCGATCATCGTTGTCGTCGTTCACATTTCTCGGAAATTTTCACGAACGATCGAGGAAATAAATATAAACGATCCGTTACATATCCGTTTACATATCTGTAAAATTGAAAGATTCGCCGAATATTTTACAACAAAATCATTCGAATGCGTACATTCATCCATCTATACATACATATATACATATATACATAGGATACATTTAGACGAACGGATACAGCTATCATGGTTATACATTTATTCCACTCGTTTTGATCGCTTGTTGCACATGATTGCAGGTATGGGAAAAAAGAAATTAAAAAAAAAAATAGTAAAAAAATTTTACAAAGAAAATAAAAAAAAAAACAATTTGAAGGATAGTTAAATGATCCAAATTTTTGTTTGTCGATCTTAATGGCAAATTCTAATTCCATAAAGGGTAGGAAAGTGCATTATAAACAACACGTGACCGCAATTCAAGCAGTAAATGGAATTCGTATGTCTATCGCATCGTATCGTATCGTATCGTATCGTATCGTATTGTATCGTACCGATACGTGTCGTATTTTGCCACCAAGTACCATTACCTCTAGAACGTTTCGATTTTGCGTATACTTCGGTGTATTTTAAGTATTATGCCGTTACGAACAATCATAAGATTCTTGAAATATCAAAGATCATATTTTAGTTGGTAGAAAATATGTGATAGATATTTCAAATACATATATTCAAAAATATCGCTTACTATCCAAGCCAAAATGGTGCTTGGAATAATCCTATCATAGTATATGTATTTATGTATAATGTATATGGTGTTTCACGGGTTTACCAAGAGCTATGAAATTACAAACGTAACGATAAAACCTCAAGATAAATTGGAACGTGCGAGGTAACCGCGCTGATTCTACGCTCTGTTCGTCACAATAAATCCCACATGCGAAGAACCATTATAATATATTCTCATAGAAGAAGAAACAAGTAATAACAATGCAACTATAATGTTTTTTCTTATATCTACGAAAGACTTTCTTTTTACTACTACAAACTGATTCGAATTATTTATCTCTTCTTTTTCTAACAATCCTTCTTTTTCAATTCCAACTGTGCCGTATAACATTTATATATAAGCTAAGATATTTTGTTTTTTAATTTACTTAAATAAAATTTTAATTGGCACTGTGGGTGTGTGTGGTTAAATATCTCTAATTTATAATTTCGTAGAAAAAGAAAAAGTAAGGAAGTAATTATTTTATTTGAATGAAACTTTAATGGTGTTCATTGGTAATTAGTAATTTTTTAAATAGAATCCTATATTTGTTATCATACACGAGAAACCACTTGACTACGAATTCACTAAAATATTGTATGATTATTAATAAGTAATTAGTAGTAGTACAAAAATTTCTGTAATAAAATTTTAATTAAAATAACACCTAAGTTAATAACTTTAATATAATTTCATGTAAAAGAAATAATATTTGTCTTGTTTGAAGAAAAAAATAATGTTGGAAAAAGAGTATATAGATGAAATATTTAATTATTTTAACTTAAATGTTCGTATAAATGCTTGTATAAATGCAAATTTCCGCATGTGTGGGGTGACGAACAGAAAAAGTAATGTTTTCTTTGGACGAATTTGATTGGTCGAGCAATTGGCAATAGATTCAAAATGGATTCCAAAATGGATTCTTCTGACAGCAAATTCGACATTGACTGTGATCAATTTATATACATGTTAATGATTAATTAACGATTAACTAGGTTAACTTAATTTAAAAAAAGAAATTTAAAAAAAAATATAAAAATAAAGAAAGAAATAAAAAGAAACATCGAATTCGTATCGATCGATTAAAAAGAAAAATCAACATTAACTTACTTTGACAAGTATATTAGACGAGGAAAGAAGATACTATTTCCAAAAAGATCCTTTCACCTTTCTCTTCTACATCACTGTTTTTTCCTTATATTAGATCTTATCGTAAATATTCAACGCACGCACAAAGTCGAAAGTAACACACACGCGTTTCGATTATCAAAAAGAAAAGAAAAAAAAAAGAAAATTTTATTTTCCATCTACGTCGAGAGTTAGGAAGTTTCAAGTCGCGACGTATTACTTGTACACTCGTATTACTGAATACGGAAAAATAGACGAGAACGCGCTAACGATTTCACTTTCTAACGTGAACTCGAAAATATTTATTTCGTAGATATACACTATAAAAAAAAAAACTTATCTTTGAAAGGCACGATCTTCTCTATGATCGAGATCAAATGATCTTCTGTGTCACGATCGCGAAATCGTTAAAATATGCGCTGACAGGTAAGACGTATGTAGTACGTATGTATCTATATATATGTATATTTATATACATACATAGAACTATGTATCAGAGATGGGTGCGAGCACGATGCTAGAGCGGTGCACGTTGCTGAATTGAATCCTTCGTCACGGTTCGGCTATCTCCGGTAACTTCGTAGGCAGGTACGCAGAACCGACCACTCGATCTTATGGACCCTGTTCTTCTCTCTTTTTTCGAAAAATTTATTTTATTCCATCTATCGTCCATTCTATTTATCTAACGATCTCGACGAAAATAAGTCTCATATCTAAATATCATTGTTATTATTGTCGAAGTATAATCTAATGTTTATTAGGGTGACCTAAAATAATTTTAACGTATGACTTTCATATGTAATATAAATACAGCATTCGTATGTTTCTCTTTGTAAAGAACATATGACTCAGATGACGTTTAATATTCTAAACATTCTTACATTACATACAACGAATTACGAAGAGCATATACAATAAATTATACAAATTAAACAGATTGGTTATTAAAATTCGTTTGTATATATAAAATCGTAGGTATAAAAATCTGTCATTGGTGTTTCAGCTATAAAAATTTGACTTAAGTTTTTATTTTAATTAAAAAATACGATACTAAAAATGTGATACTTTCTGTTCATTATTATTTTACATAGGATAGAATAAATAAAAAGATACAATAATAAATAATTGCATTAACATATAAAATAATTGAAGAGATACCTCTGATAGAAAGATCCCGCCTCAGTTTAAAATTGATCACACTGATGAGTGCCAACCAATCATAGTCTCGTATTACCAGAGTTATTCTTTCACTATTTACGTATATAGTACCTTTGCAGACGACGTTCATTCGACGAATGGCGGGAGTGCAGCGAACAGCTGTTTAGTGGAGTGGTGAGACATCTAGCGGAGCGCGGGCGTAATTTCGCACGCGACGACGAGAGCTAAACGATGAGACGTGTAGTGGGGGGTAGACTGGTGATACGTATACGTTCATATATGTATAAGTGTATGTGTAAGTAAAGTGTGTGTATAGTACGGGTCGGAGACCGAACGTGTCGTGTCTCTCTTCTTACTAACACTAGAGTCCAGCGAGCAGTCGCGAGAGTCGAGCCAGGAAAGATGGCTGCTGGCTGTTGTGGAACGAAGAAGCAAAAGCTCAATAATTCAAGCAGCATTCCGTGCAATGGCTCGACCGTATTGCAAAATGGCACCCAAATTCGCTATTCCACGATAGTACAACCGGAGATGGGTTTCTTTTGCTTCGACGTACTTTACTGCCAACTACATCAACTTGACCCTCCAAAAACGCCCAACTTCAGCAACGATGCATTGTGAGTATACCTTGGCCCTCTTTGTTCCCCCCTTCTCTTTCCCCCCTCTTATTCCTCACCTCCTCTCACCGTTATCATCTCCGCGCGCCTTTCTCAATTCTGTTTCCTTATCTTCTTTCTTTTTCTCTCTTTCTCTTTTTCTCTTTCGTTTCTTCTTTCTTTCTTTCTCTTTCTGTCTTTTCTCTCATTCTCACTCTTATTCTCTCATCATTTTTCTCTTTCTTCTTTTCTTTTCTTTCTTTCTTTGAACGTTCGCATTATAACTTTTATTTCTTTTTCCATTTTTCTCCTTTCATAATTTCTCTTTACCTCCTATCTTATTTCCATCTCTCGTTAATGCTAGATTTATATTTTGTAAATTATTGACAGTACACTTTGCTACAGAGTCCTTGAAAAGATAAAAGTCCTTGAGAAAAAGTCCTTCGATTAAACTAACCTCCATTAGATTTATGTCTTTCCTTTTAAAATAACCTCTTTTAGAAGTATTATCGTTTATTTTTTGTTGTAATTCGATATCTTTAAAATTTGTGTTTTGATCGTCTATACGAGGTTATATATACAAATGATACTTTCTTTTTTCGACTCCTTGGTCATCGTAGCTTCTTTGCATTGTCATCGTTGCAGAGGCGTTTCTATTGTTTCTTTGATTACGTCTTTAATTATTTTTCTCGTTCTATTTTTATATTTGAATATTGTAAAAAAAATCTTAGATGAAACAGATTTGTTTCGACAGTGATTTTGACTAAATTATCATTTAAAAATTTCTCTTTTTTATTTATTATTATTTCTTGTATTTTTAAGTTGGATTTATTTATATGACAACAAAAAATTGTACTAAATGAATGAAATATTATTTTCAGCCCTTTATTCGTTACGTGGTCTATTGGAAAAGACATGAGATTAAGAGGCTGCATCGGTACATTTAATGCTATGCATTTACATGCCGGATTAAGAGAATACGCTACTACTAGGTATGATAGAATATTGACGAGAATGAAACTATTATCATCTTTAAAGTCAGAATATATTTTTGTTTTTCTTTCTAAAAGCGCATTTAAGGATTCTCGTTTCAATCCGATAACAAGAGAAGAGTTGCCACGCTTACATGTTAGCGTATCTATCCTTAGAAATTTTGAAGATGGAGTTGACTATTTAGATTGGGAAGTTGGAGTTCATGGTATACGTATAGAATTCCATAACGAAAAGGGTAATAAGCGGACCGCTACTTATTTGCCTGATGTAGCACCGGAACAAGGTCAGTATATATGTTTTTTTACAATAGATTAGGTTATAGCCAGAAATTGATATATTATTGTTGGTAACCTATACTCATTAAGGTTTTTATTCTAATTTTTCTGGTAATTCCAAAATAAACAATACAAATATTTTTCATAGTCAGTATATAGTTTTAAAAATGAAAGAAAATGGCAAAGAGAAGTTACAGAAGGGTACATAAACAATCAAAGGGCTGGTCTTATCTAAAGTGGCTGATAAATTACAAAATAGAATTTTGAAATTATTTGCTTCATGTATACATATCCATTTATTTTTTCTTCGCATTAAAGCAATATTGTAATTAGTATATAACTCCTACTTCCAGGAAATAGAAAATTATCTATTAAGAACGAGAAAAAAAGAATTTAATTAAGAACAAAATTTGATTAATTTTTACGCTGATATTTACAGCAATTTGAAAATTCGCGAGTATTCTGCAAAGTTAGAACTTAACATGTTTAGGATGGGACCAGATACAGACAATAGATTCCTTGCTGCATAAAGGTGGTTATAAAGGATTGGTAACTCCAGACATTAGACGTAGTGTGAAGTTAACTCGTTACCAGAGTGAGAAGGTCACCGTGAGCTATCAAGATTATATGACACACTGGCACTGCCGAAGATGCTAGCAGCTGGCCTGGGGTCCTCCACAAGGGCCCCAACCTTCTCAAACTTCTGTTGCAGTTCGTTATAACAATACCGAAGCAACATCCAATTTTCAATACAATAATAGCACTCAATACAACTCGTTTGTGGCCAGTCAGCAACATACATTAGTGATGGTACAACCTAATCATCCATCGTTCATACATCCACTACCCATGCCTCCTGTATCTCCAGTTGTGGTACCTGTACAAGATTATCCATCTTTTTGGTGGGATCGTGCAGGACCTTCCTTTCCTCCTCCACATACACATTCTCGTACCCACCGATTTACAACACAAGAAAATATGGATCGTGGGGTGCGCAAGCGAAAATGACATTGGAGGCGGCTGTTACTTGCAATCTTTCACTGTTTGAAGTGGTGCCTATTGTATTTTGTATGTTTTAGCATACACAGTCTCCCTTTTATGATACCATACAGTCCTCCTTGAGGATAATAGAACTACAAGTATGATGGCAATATTATTACTTAAAATATTATTCCTATATGAAACTATTAATAAATTCACATTGCTTATTTAAATATTGATCTTAAAAATATCATTATACTAATCGGATAATGAAATTCATTATTTAATTAAAGAGAAAAAAAAGAAGAGAATATCTTGTCAAAATCCATTTAGCAAATATGGAAGAATTTAGAGCGTTTTAACTCTGTCTCATGTTTTTCTCTCTCTCTTTCTCTCAAGTAATATATTAAACGAGGTATGCTAGCGCTAATGAAATAGAACTTAATTATTAAACAAATCTTAGCACTTAAACATGCGTTTTTGCACGTGGTTAGCTCCTGCCATCATACTAAGCGGATCTACATCGATATCTTTATCTGCAGTGTATGGATGATATAAGTAATTATATAGCACAGTAAAGATAAACAGTCTTTAAAACTGTACAAATCGATCAAAGGTATAAATCTTTGGATTATTGCATATAATTTGCAAGAAATATAGAATATTCATATTATATAAATATATGTATATGTACATATACATATAAAAAGAATATGCAAAAAGATCCTTTTTGTATTTTTTGAATTTATGTTTTGTTAATTGGAATATGTAATTAGATTACAATATGTTTGTTTCACAATGCTGTTAAATATTTTTATTAATAATTGTAACTGTTACGAAGAAAAAAAAAGGAAAAAATTAATTTATTTTCTTTAGGATAAATTGCTGATATGTTGTTTTCTTTTTATATGTTTTTTTTTGTGTTTTAAAAATTCTTAAAAAAGAATAAGTATAAACAGCTTCTTTGTATTCATATTCATTTTGTTTGTAAGTGTGAACAGTTAAATCATAATTTGATGTTACGTATGGCAATGTTAAAATGGCTAAATTGAATTTCTTTGTACTAATGGTATAAATAAATATATCTGTTATAATTAATTAGATTGTATTAGATCGTTCCATTAACATTGTCTCATTTTGTTGGTGATTGAATAAAATCCCTCAAAATGTATTTAGCTAATTGTAAATATATAATATGTATAAATCGTCTAACATAATTTATACCATTGCTACATCGAAGTTTATTTTAATGATTATAGTTGTAATATAATTCAGCGTTTTATTGCAGAAAAGAAATTTTGCGATTGATGACAAAAAAATATCGAATAAAAACAAAAAGGGATATATAGTTACTGTACTTTCTAACGTACAGCTTAAACTTATAAGATACGTCTTAATTAGTCCCTTTAAAATACCACTTTAAGAGGTTCAAAGAGATAACTTTACAAAAATTATTGTTATCTTGCTCATTATTATACAAGTTCAGCTTAAAACTTAACAAAGATAAATTTTAAGACGGTACCTCTAAAGAACATTGAGGTATTCCAAGTGTGTGTAGTAGAAAGTATTTGCAGAATGGGACCTCTACTGTAAATAAGCAATGGACCGCACTATGACTATAGAAAAAGAAAGAAAGAAAAAAAAATGTTAATTTTTAGTTGTAATAATAGATTTAAGGTACTAACAAAAAAAAATGACGATCTCATTGTGATTTTGATTATTCTGCGACTTGTGATCGTAAGCTCATGAATTCTTGTGTACATTATAGTTGCATTATATCGCTACCTACAATACAAAAAAAAGAAAAACAAATAGTAGTTCAATGCATATACATATTAATTCCTATTTTAAAAGAAAAGTTTCAAATATATAATGATTTAGGTGGCTGATATGCCAAATGCAGCTATTAATGTACTATGATTAACTAGTGATGCATTTTAGATTATTATCGTATAAAAGAGCGTCCGGCAGAAATTGGAAAGAAATTGGCGTCCTATTCTTCCATATATTGATATCCTATCTTTACTTAGATCCCCCAGTTACTTTGTGACTGGTTCCATTCACTGCCAATTTATTCATTGTTGTGTCGTTTACATGAGCAAAGCTTGCTAAGACTAAAGAAATCGTGTTGTTAATCTTTTGTTAATCAATGTTTTAACTTAACATTTGATGTTATTACTTACATTATTACATTACATTATTATTATCAAGGTAGCTAGCTAGTTTTTGAGATCTCCGTACTATTCAAGCCTCGGCATGATGTTCAACCAACTGCCAGTATCATACTTAATTGTAGATTTATCGGCAAATCAAACTATCGTATACATGAACTAAATTAGGCTGTGGAATCCTAATTACGTCAATGATAGTAACGCTACTTGTACGTACAGTGTACATATCGTATCATTGATGTATTTCTTAGTTCAAAATGTCAATGGAGAATAGCAAAGAAGATAAATATCTGATGCATTTCCAATGGTAACTATTGTTTTGCTTTTTTTTTCTTCTCGTTTTTCTTTTATATAGTGTGTTTTTTTAAATCGATTTAAATATGTTAAAGTCCCAAGTCTTAATAGATGAAAATATTTACTTGATACCACTGTACGAGAATTTTATGTATCGTACAGGTCAAACTACTTTCTTTAGTAGTTGCTTCTCACCTTATTAATGATATTTATACATGCATAACAAAGTAATGTTGCTTGTAAAATCAGAAAAATTCATGCATCCTATTCTATTTCATAAAAATATTTTAAATCTTATTATGATAATAGTTATTTTAACATACTTCGTTTACATTTAAGAAGGAATGTCTTATGCACCTTGCATTAGCTTTGACTAAATTGCTAAAAATGATTAAAAGTTATATTTCTATCCAGTTCAGCACTGTTTGTTATGCATACATGATACACATTAAGACACCAACATTTTTCTGTATAAGCCTACGTGTTGCATGAATAAGATTTAGGATTTTAAAAATTACATTCAAAAAATTTTTAAGTCAAAATGACATAGTTACTGTACAAGACAGCGAATCTTAATAATTTGAAAGACATAATATTACAAAATGTACTGTGCCTAAGCCTGTTGTTAAAATTGGTTTATATACCGCCTACAAAATAAAGACAACAGCAATGCATAGTGCACACTAGCACAGTAAGTCCATTAGAACGAACAACTTTGGCAGACAACTAAAAATAATTAAATATATCAATAACAACTTATATAAGCAAGGGGATGAAGAAATAAATACATTTTATATTGTCACAAATCTTGTTTGCTTTCAAATGTATATATATGTATATATATATACACATATATATCCCATAAAACATGCATGTGTTGACAGTCATACCTATAAATATAAGCAAACAACAAATACTGCAACATGATTTGAAGATTTCACAATCCAAAACATTTTATTTAATAATTTATGTAACTAACAAAAAATAATTGATTTTCAGAATTTTGTATCCATCTCATCATCATCTCTTTCTGTATCTAAAGTTAATATTTGATCCATATAAGATATGCAATTAAATTGCTTATATACAAGGAAAATTGCAGCTATAGTATTGATAACACTTAACATTGCTAACGATGGAAAAGTAACTTTAAATAAGTTCGCACTAAAATATATTACTTCTTTCCAGCTTGTATAATATGGCATTCTAAATGTTCCAACGCGTTTAGCAATCTATAACAAAATTATATACAAATATTAATTAACATATATCATCTCTATATCTATTTGAAATTTTAAGAATGAATAGAAATTAAAACTTACCAAAAGGTTTACTACCGGTGACAAGACCAAAGGATATAGTATGCCGCAAGTATTCTGAACAAGTATCGATCTCATTTCGAGACATAAAGGGCAAGTTTGCATTGGTAAAACTACTTTTTCTGAAACCATCTACGTAGATTTTATATTAACATATATATTTACAATCAAATTGTAAATAGTAAATGGCTAAACAAGGATATCTAAGATTTATAATATTATACCTCCATTTGAGCTAAAGTGGTAATCAGTGCTGGACATACTGTCATAGGAATAGCAGAAGCAATTGAACCAAAGGTACGTAATTTTATTATTTTCCTAATTCTAGTATTAATATAAAAACTTGATAATGCTGCGACACCTCCAAGAAGTGCTGCCCCATATGATAAAGGCCACCTTTAGGATTAAACAAAATTTCATATTATTATTTACGTTACAAATTGATGAAAGAATAATGAAAATATAAATACTAGAATTTAAAAGGATTGATAGAGTTCAAATGTCAATAAAAAACAATATACTATTATTTCATTATTTGTAGAAAAAAAAATATATACAATATTTTTTGAGGTTAGTTACACTTCTTTTTGCGGTTTCCAATTGTAGATTTGTTTCCACCGATATGCAATAGCCTCTTTTTGGGTTAAAACAATAACATTTTCTGGTATTTCACCTTTTGTTGAACTTAATGCCATTATTAAATTAAATTGATATATTTAATATTAAAACAGTAAATGTGTTAAGAAAGAATCTCTCGGCGGTAGAGCCGCACGTTTAGTTCGTCCATTTAACTTGATGCAACATTATCAGAATAAATCTAATCGCGCATGATCATGAGGATAGAAGATATTACAAGAGTAATCATTTTGAAAATTATTTATTATAATTTTAATACAAAATTAAGAATTAAAGAAATTAATGAAAGATGAGAAACATTTACCATCGATTGCTAGGGTAAATAACTTTAATCAATAAATTCGTATGATAAGATCCTTTACAAAATAGTTTACTTCTCATAAATACTTCATTTCATATTTACGAATATCCATATAAAAACATTAAACTAATCTCATGATAACGTAGAAAAGAAACAAAAAAAATCAATATTTTAATTGCAAAATATTATCTAATCAATGGATCGTCCTAGATGCATTTAAATTTCTCGCTGACAGACGAAAATATCGTTTGATCGATGCTGACGTCTATGAACGAGACGACTAAGTTCCTGTCTCGTGTTTAACAAATACAACGAGAGAACCGTTTTACGAGAAGTATGTAATAGAAAGAAAGAGAATGAGAGGGGTGAATAAGGAAGAGAGGGTTGCTGGTGTAGTCATCGATAACGAGCGAGTCATCGTTGAGAGAGAAGGAGAATGAGTTTACCGAAGAGAAAACAAGTTGAAGAAAGAAAGAAAGAAAAAATGTATATAGAGAGAGAGAAAGAGAGAAAGAGGGTGGGGAAGAGAGATAGAGAAGGGGTACAGTAGGTCGTATGGTGGTTGTAGGGGGTTGATCTCGGCCTTCGGGGTAGCGCGTCACGAGGGCTGGCGTGACGTCATGAAGCAAGCTGGCATCGACCAATCGGCGGTGCGGGTTGCGCGCTCGTGTTTCTTCGCGTTGCCAGTAGTGAGTGGATTCCGCACGATTTTCCGATTCCGCTACGACGGCCAGAGTGCGACGCCATATTGTGCGAGACGAGTGCGAGAGAGAGGAACAGAGAGAGAGAGAGAGAGAGAGAGAGAGGGAGAGAGAGAGAATAAAGTGAGACGAATAGCATACAGACGGACAGAAAGAGAGAAAGAGAGAGAGAGAGAGAGAGAGAGAGAGAGAGAGCGCACGCGAGAGATCAAGAGAAAGAAAGAAAGAGAAAAAGAAAGAGAGAGAGAGAGGAACGTATTTATCTCCAGCCGGTGATTTAAAGAGAAAGAGAGAAATAAAGTGACAGATCTAGTAGTGTTCATTTCGTGCATTTCATAGGGATGTTACTTTGAGAGTGTTTCTTGTGTATTATAAAAAGGGCGGAAGAAGAGCTTAGAAGAAAGGGAGAAAGAGAGACAGAAAGAGATACACGCGTTATTGTAGAAGCAGTCGTCGTTCTCGTTGCTGCCGTTAGTCGCAGTCGTTGTCGTCGTCCTTCTCGTCGTCGTCGTCATCATCATCATCATCATCGTCGTCGTCGTCGTCGACGTCGTGGTGGTCGTCGTCGTCGTGGTGGTCGTCGTCGTCGTCGTTGTCGGTACTGTTTCTTGGCTGACGCATGACAGTAGTGGCAGACTTATCGTGCGCGGAAGCCGTGCGAGTACGACGCACCACTGCTACCTTCTTTCTTTCCTTTTTAATCGTCTTACTTTCTTTTTTCGGCGTTTACGTTTCTCTCTCTCTCTCTTCTCTGTGCACGTTAACGCAAAGCTTACTTTTAACAACGTGAGAGAAGCGTGTGCTACCGGTGGTGCTACTGCTACTGCTGCTACTACTGCTACTGCTACTGCTGCTACTACTACTACTGTTACTTCAGCTGCTGCTCGTGTGTTTGGTGGTGTTAGTTAGTAGTGTTAGTGGTGGTGCTGTTGTTGTTGGTTGTGGTGGTGGTGGTGGTGACGACTGTGAGGGTGACGGTGACGGTGGTCGTTGGTGGTGGTGTACCATTTCACCACCTTTGATTGTTCGATGAGAGGTGCTGGCTTGTGGTGAAAAAGGTAGTAGTGAGGTGGTGAGATCCTATTATAAGTCATAATAGTGTACTACGCGTTGTCCAATCTTCTCCGAGTATCTATCTAACCTCAGGTAAAAGAAGAAGAAGAGGAAGAGGAGGAAGCTTTTTGAAGAGAACACATATACATCCATAACACTGAAAACGAGAGAAAGAGACAGAGAAGAAGAAAGAGAGAGAGAGAGAGGGAGAGAGAGGGTGTGAGTGTGTGACCAGAGGAGAGGGAACGAGAGGTTCGACGGAGGATAAAGGATGCCTGTCCGTAAGCAAGGTGGTAAGCTTCTATAGGCTTTTTTTAGAGTAGACGCAAGCAAGCGAAGATTTCTTTCTGAACGTGTATGTATATATAACATACATACACGCTCGCACACCTACAAACACATATATACATATATATTGATATGTATGTACACACGATATAAAAAATACGCGTAATTTTTTCTAACTCAACAATCTCATTTACCTTCCTGTCATCTTTTTCATTAAACATGTAAATACGTTTTTGTGTATATGTGTATATATGTACATACACATAGATTTATATATTGGTAGTAGTAATAAGGGCGGTTAAGGGGCACCGGGTCACTCGGTCAGCTGTCATCACGGTTGTCGTTCGCACAACCACGCGAAACTACGTATGTTCCTATCGACCGCAGATTTCATCCCTCGCATTGCCTCCCTCTTTCATATTCGAATTCGAATTTCCCGCGCCCATTTCGATTACTAGAACATAACAACGTGTGTATACACTTACATATATGTATATATATCTATATATATGAATTTTGTATCTTTTTCGACGCTTTGATTTGCTTTTATGTGATATATCCTCGATCTATAGATCCGTGGTCCAATATTTTTTATAGATCATTTTTAAATATCATTTTTAATGGATCAAGACCGTAAATGGATCATTTGACGTGAGCTTTTAGCTTACGTCAAAGTGAAGAATTTGAAAGAGATTTTCAAGAAAATTCTAAGAATTTGCCTTCTTAGGAATTCGCAAGAATACCACATTATTAGCATACCTGCAATTTATCAGATACTTTAACATTTTAAATTATAAATAACAATTGGACGTTTTTAAGCAAACATATTTCTATACAGCACTGCTTAAATGTTGAGAAACGTTAGTATCTTTTGTTTTTTTCTTTTCTTTCTTTTTTTTTTTGAAACCTTCGATGTGTGACACGAAAGCATAGGTCGAACAAGGTACAAATCGATAAAACGTTAGAAAGGTTAGCGAGTTAGATTATCTGGTAAGGTTGCAGGTATTTAATCTACATCGATCTAACAAGGTCGTAAAAATTATTGAATCGTTTCTTACAAATGTTCTTAAGATTATGTTTTTCTTTTTTTTATTATAGGAAGAGAATTATAATTAAAAATTTAATAAAATATAATGAAATAAAATTATTGCGTTAAGTAATGTATAAAGATATATTGTTTCTATTGTAAATAGTTAAAGATTATAACGTTTATTGTGTATACTATGGTTTATAGTATGTGTATTAAAATACACGTGTATGTAATGTAGGTATCCGTATTTTAGTTCGTTTAATTTTCAATACACAGGTACACGAATTACATGGATACCGAAATATGTATAATACATGGGTAGTAAAATACACTGGTTATAAAATAAGTAAATATTAAAATACACTCGTGATAAAGATCTCTATTATATATATATATATATTTCCGGAATACAAACCAATACTTCCGATTGACTCGTCGTATTTCTTCCGCATAATTTTATGTCATCGTTCGCTTCCTGATTGGGTGATAGCCAAAAGTGACTTCAATGTGTGAAGATTTTTATATATAATAAATCATAAATAAATGCTTTCCTTAAAAACCTTAAAAGGTTTTATAGCAATCGTAACTATACATATATTTTATTGTTACTTTTTGAAAAATTGTAAAACGATTTTCTTTTTCTTTCGATCTCAAGATTAAATGTATCGTAACGAAATTGTAACAAATATGAATTACAGAAAAATATCGTTTCGATTCGAATAAGTTTTAAACTTAAATGGGGTAGCATATTTGGGTTCATTGAAAAAATAATTGAGTGTTTCGTTTTATTACGATTGTTTGTCGATCGTATTGCATTATTTGTTTGAATAAAGGTCAAACTTTTTGTACGATCAACTTTTTATTCGTTTCTAATGCTTTTTTTTTCAAATAATTGTTCGTATTTGATAATTGAATATATGTCGTTGTAAAGCTGTAAATGCAAGGTAGTGTGTTCGATAATTTTGGCAGACTAACATTTAATTCAATGGATGTGTGACAGCATTCATATGTATAATACATACATATAAGTATATATATTTTGAAATACAAGTTTAAAGTAGCATTGGCACAAGGGAAATGTTTAATTTCGTTATGTAATAAACGCTAGATCGACCTTCTCAATAAAAGGGTGGTAGATAAATTATAATAAGGGTTAGGGTGAAGAGGTGAGAAAAGGGATTAAAAAGTGATGACCTTTCAAGTCTTCATTGCGTGTCTATGTTCCTTGTCTTTTTTCGGTTTCTTTGGCTTTTCTCGATTGATAAGAATGTATGTAAAAAAAACATACATGTAATGAAGTTATATTCTTAATTGAGTTGAGGAATAAGATCGAAAATATCTCAAGATTATTCTCAATAAAAAAGAAAAATCGAAAATGCTAATTTGTTTTAAAAAAATTCGGTTGAGATTAAAGTTGTAAGAAAATTAAGTAATTGAATGAATTTAAAAAAAAATTAATGACTTTTTTATTTAATTAATTATTATAGCGTATTATAATTTTATTTATGTTATATATTATTATTTTTCTTTCAAGTACCTGGTAAAAGTATTAAATTATATTTTCTATTTCTCTTGAAACATCAGATTTATGGATATTAATTATATTTCTATTTTAATTGCAATTCTTTAGTAAATGTGTTTCCTTCGATATAACATTGATTCATATAATCGCATTAAAGTCAAAATAAATGATTATAAAATAATATATTTATGATTTTTATAAATATCGTCATTAAAATATCAATACTGCACCAAATTGATAGTTTTCGTAAATAATAATTATAATTATTTTTATATAATTTTTATTTTTTTTACTCAATTAAACTTATGATAATAGAAA